CCCTGGGTGGGAGGCAAGGGGAGGTCAGGCCAGGGCACAAGCCATCCTGATGCCCCCGGAGAGGGCAGCCGGGTGAGGCCCAGCGTGGTTATTTATTGGAGTGTAATGGTTTGTGGCCGTTGGTCGTGGAGGTGAAATCGATCAGTGGTAGAAGTCAGGTTCTATCAATTATTAGAGCAATTAGTCAAGTCAGATGGAGGATGTGGGGCTTGGGCAGTAATATTGGATGGACATTATCCAGGTGCCCCCGCCTCAGCCTTCCTAAAGTGGGGGCAGACTTGCTGCCCTGAGGCTCCAGAACCTTGGAGAACCCTGCTGGCTTCCCCCAATGAGTGACTTGACCTGAGAGCCTCCTGGGCTGGAGCCAGGCCCAGCACTGCTGTAAAAGGAAGCCCCTGTGCTGGCTGGCCCAGGTGCAGGGATGTCCTACCTGTCCCCATCCCATCCTTTATGAGAAGTGACACAACTCCTACTAGAAATTACTCAGTGGCCAATGTTTATGGCACACATTTTTCATTCTGTAAGCAAATATAGATCACTGACAGCACTTGTTTGAAGCAGCTAATCTCACCCTCTTCCCCCTTTCACTGTCTTCTCCCACCTCGTCTCCCTCCTCTTTCCCATGTCTTATCTTCCCACCCAGTTCTCCTTTCTCTCTGCTGGTTTCTTGCCCCCCAGGAGGTCTCCTCTAATATCCACTCCACATAGCACATGTCTGGTAGTAGAGCTCCCCTCAAGGCTGCCAGAGAAAGAAGAGGCCTTTAATCCATCACTTACTTAGGGCTCCTTTTGCCTCTGCTGTGCTGCAGGAATTGGGAGGTGCTGTCTGGAACTGTCCCCTCCACCCTTGCAGACCCCCTTCAAAGCCCAGCACCCAGAGAGCAGGGCCACTCCAGGACACTATACCCTGAGCACTTTGGTCCTTCCTGAGCCCTGTGGTACTTGTCAGTCTGTCCTCTCTTCAGCACATGGGTCACTCTAAGCCTGTGTTATTGTCATGTGTGCATTTCTCATCCCATCAGCTCTTGGACAGTTGAATTTGTGTTAAATTCAAACTCAAGGGAGACCTCTTCTTAAAGACAGGAAAGGGAACCAGCAAATAAGACTGAAAGACTGGGCATAGGGGAGACTTGAAGTGAGATCTTATAGAACTCAAAGGAGACAACAGCTGAGTTCCCACTTGGCCACCAAACAGTCAGGAGGATTTAAAAAAAAAAAAAAAAAAAAAAGCCATGTGATAGGACCATGCCTGTATTCCTAGCACTCAGGAGGCCAAGCTCAAGACCAGAATAGGCTACATAGTGAATTTAAGGCCAGCTTGTCTTTAAAAAACAAACAAAAAATAATTTTAAGTATAAGAAAGGGGCTAGAGAGAGGTCTTAGCAGTTAGAGTATGAACTGCTCTTGCAGAGGACCCCGAGTTCAATTCCAGTACCCACGTTGGGCAGCTTACAACTACCTATAACTCCAACTCAACAGGAATTCATGCCTCTGACCTCCATAGGTATCTCTACACAGGTGCACACGGGTGTGTCCGCACATGCACATACACATACATAATTAAAAATAAAATCCTTAAACTTAACTTTTAAAATCTATTTTAAAAAGGAAACTCTCCATTGGCCTGCCAGTCCCTACCTTGCATACAGAGCCCTGCAGATATGAACTGCCCAGTGAGTTACAACAGGTCAGACAGAAAGAATGAGGCCCCATCAGAGCCTCTGAGTTCTTCAAAGACCCTAGAACCCTACCAATGATAATAAACACGTCAACATCCACGTGTGGCTATTTGCCTGACTGTGGGGGAAGAGGTTAACCTCAGAAGACATGTTCAGTGAACACAGTGCTGAAGTAGGAGGAGCCTTCCTTGCTAAGACACCCTGCCCCCTTGCTAAGTTCACACTTTGTCCTATAGACAATGAAAAGCACTGAAGGATTTTGGGGTGCATCATCACCACTCTGATGAGAGTGAATTGGAGTTAGGAAAACCTGGGGATAGCATGGACTCATGGATCAAAACAACAGACCTAGCTTCCTGGCCTTGGGCTGGTTATTGCACTTCTCTGAACACAGTCCCATGTCTGTATCTTGGGGATTTTTAATACCTCAGGGTTGTGAAGGTTAAATGATAAAATACATAAAAAGTACAGAGCCAGGCACAAACTAAGAGATGAATAGATACCAGTGCTGTTGTTATTATCACTCCAAGGCATCTACTCAAGAGACACGAAGATACATAGCCAGAGTCAGGCGTGGTGGTGTGTACCAGTAGTCCCAGTACTCAGAAGACTGGGGCAGGAGGAATGCTTGATCCTAAGTTTTCAATTTGGCAACATAGGAAGATCCCTATCTTTAAAAAAAAAAAAAAAAAAAAAGGCTTAGTGGCCCACACCTGTAAAGCACTAGCACTCAGGAATCTGAGGGAAGAGAATCTTAAATTCAAGACCAGCCTGGTCTGTATAGTGAGACTGATCTCAAGAAAACAGAAAACAGGTCTGGAGAAAAGACTCAGTGGTTAAGAGCACATACTGCTCTTGCAGAGAAATTGAGGTTGGGTCCCAGCACCCACATCAGGTGGCTGATAAACACCTGTAAATCCAACTCCAAGGAAATCAGACAACTCTGCTCTCCACAGGCACCTGCACTCATGTGCACATACCCACACAGACACACATGTATACACATAATTTTAAAATAATAATAACAAATCTCCTTAAAAAGAAAAAGAGAAACAAGAAACAGCAACATCAAATGAGAGCACGCACACATGCACACAGACCTTTCTTGTTCGTGAATGTTCCTAACAGCACTGTTCTTAACAGGCAAAGAGGGGAAATATCTACTATGTCCATCAGCTGGTAGAGAACAATATGTAGTGTTGCCACAGATCAGAATCTTATTCACCCATGCTACCACATAAAGGAGCCCTAAAATCATGCTAAGTGGAAGAAGACCGTACATTGCATAATTCCACTGATAGGAAATATCTATAATGAGAGAAAGCCAACCATTGGGTATGTTTGATAACAGTACAGGATTTCTCTTCAGGGAAGGGAACAAATTATATAGTAGTGATGTTTGCACAACCTTCTGAGTTTAAACAACCAAATGATATGCATTTAAAATGCTGGACTTGGGACTGGAGAGATGGCTCAGTGGTTAAGGGCACTGGCTGCTCTTGAAGAGGACCTGGGCTCGGTTCCCAGCACCTACCCAAGTGGCTAACAATTTTCCATAACTCAGACACCTGTCTTCTGGCCTCTGTGGGCATTGCACTACATGGGTGCACTTACATATATGCAGGCAAAACACTCGGACACATAAAATAAAAATAAATGAATAAAAAAAAATGTTAAATGTTCCAGGACTTCAGGAGCCTAGGGATGTATGTAGGTCAGTGGTAGAGCACTTTCTAGCATGTGTGAGGCCCTGACCCAGCAATGGTTAAAAAAATAAAAAAGAGGGGGGCAGTAATTTTATAGTTTGTGAATTATATATTAATAAAAGTATTAATGTTTTATACTAAATTCCTGATAGAAAATAGGATTGTGTATGAAAATATTAGATTTTTTACTATTTAAAATGAAAGTTTCTTTTGCCTAGGATTGTTCTTCCTACTGCTTCTTCCCTCTCCTCCTCCCAAACCAAGCAACCACAAAAGTGCTCATTAAACGTTTACTATCATTGTTACCTTTATAGAGTCTTAAGAAGCAGAGTTTCAGCAGGGAGAGCTTCATACCATACTATAAGTGTTTCCAGAGGCAGATTTAGAAAAACTGGTGTTTACTGTGTGTCAGCAGTGATCATACCCCACCCTGAGTTAACCCATTATGTCCTTACAGCAGGGACTAGTCTAAATCCTCCTTAACTTCTAGACATTTCTCTGGCAAGAAAGGTGCTCAAGGAATGCTAGATTCTTGTTACCATGTGCTCCAGTTATTGCATAGCTGAGCTTGCTTAGGTTTCCTTCTTGATGGTCTTGAGAGGTGTGCCTGTGAGTCAAGACCAGCTCTGTCCTCAGACCCTACTGCTTCAGGGTTTAGAGGATGATGGCCTTGGAGGAGAGTGAGCTGCTCAGAGCTGGGTCATGGAGAGGAATGTCCACAGCACTGAGGGTCAGATGATCCTTTCCTCATTATTGTCAAGCCTTGCCAAAGTAGACGCCCTATCTGGCTACTCTGTGCCAGCACTTAGAAGGTAGATGTGGCCTCCAGCAAACCTTTTTCTCATAGTCAAGGGTTTCTTGTCATGGGAACATACACACCCTTATCTTCAGCTAGCAGCACAGAGAAAAGGTCCCTGTGATGCTCATGCTCTTCTAGCGGACTCAGCTCACTCTAGCTGACAGGCTAGAGGGAAGAGAGCATAAAGGAGAGAGAAGGGCTGAGTGTGATGGCACACCTGTAATCCTAGCACTTGGGAAGCTGAGACAGGAGGAGCGCCATGAGCTTGAAGCCAGCATATTCTACATAGCAAGTTCCAGGCCAGCCAGGGCTATGTAATGGACACCCTTTCTTAAAGGAAAAAAAAAAAAAGCAAATATTAAATTGAGAGGAACAAAGGAAGACCTTGTCATCCCTGTTGAGCCGATCCGCATTAGAAAGGAACCCTTATGCATGGCTTTGTGAGTGGATGTTCATCTGTATGCAGATATATTGAGCTCTGTGGACCTTTTAGTGATTGCATATTATATATGAATGTGGGTGTTGACATGTGTTGGGTGTGTGAATCTACATTTTTATTTGATGTTTCGCTAGCACATTCAGCCACATGTAGTTGTATATGCACAACATATCTGCATGTGTGTGTGTACATGTAGGAGGCCCTGGTACCCTGATCTCTGTCAGGGAGGACTGCATACTCTACTTCCAGAATAATTTGATATGTTTTTCGTACCATTCTCAACCTGGCAACCTTCCATGGGGACTCCTCATACTGAAATTGAGGCCCCAAGCCACCTCTAAATGAAGATCACTCATATAGCCTTCTCTTCCTTCCAGGAGCCAACCCCCTGCAGAGGAATGAAATGGGACACACACCCTTGGATTATGCCCGAGAAGGGGAGGTGATGAAGATTCTGAGGACCTCCGAGACGAAGGTCAGTGATAGAGAGCAGGAGGCCTGTGAGCACCCCATATAGCATTTAACTTTCTACTCTGTATACTGCTCTAGGCTTCACACCAAAGGTCACTTATAGGGTGGTTTTTTTTTTCTTCTGCAGAGACCAGTCTTATTACATAGCCCAGGCTAGCACTCCCAGAGTATTATCAAAACTGAAACTAATGCTATTCTAGTTTGCCATCAGTTGCTGTGACAAAACACTGTGACCAATACCAGCTTGGGGAAGAAAGGGTTTATTTAGCTTACAAGCAAAGTCCATTATCAAGGGAAGCCAAGGCAGGAACCTAGAGCACAGACCATGGAGGATAGCTGCTTACTGGCTTGTTTCTCTGGCCTGTGCTCAACATGCTGTCTTACATAATACAGAACCACCTGCCTGGGGTGGCACCACCCACAGTAGTCTGGGCCCTCCCACATCACTCACCAATTAAGAAAATACCCCATAAACATGGCCACAGGCCAGTCCAATAGAGGAAAGTCCCCATCAAGGCTCCCTCTGTCCAGGTGTGTCAAGTTGGCAGCTAAAGCTATTCAGCACAAATGCACTTGCTACAAGGTAATTCATAGATTGCATGGCAAGACTGAGCCTGGAGCACCTGGCTTCCGATCCATCGCCTTTGCTCTTCCCAGCACCAGAGTCCTTTGTCCACAGATTGGTTGAAATATTTTGAGATAATCCCAAGTGCTAGGATTGCAGGTGTGCTGACCCCAGAGCTGGATATGTTGGTGCATGCCTTTAATCCCATTGCTCAGGAGGCAAGAGGTGGATCTCTGTGAGTTCAAAGCCAACTGGTCTACATAGAGAGTTCTAGGTCAGCTAGAGAGATCCTGTTTCAAAACACATCCAGCCTTGGCCTCACCAAGAATGGGGAGCTTTCCCTGTCATGACTATGAAGAGAAAGAGAGCCAAGCCACTTGTGGCTTCTGAGAATTAATGCTCTCTCCCTCTCTAGCTCACATTTATTTTTGAAGTGATGTTCTCCAGCTTCTTTTCAGAGGAGGAGACAAGACACATGAAGTTTTGGGGTTTTTTGTTTTTAATTTAATTATTTAATTATGAGTGTTTTGCCTGCATGTATGTAAGTACATCTGTGTGTGCAATGCCCTTGTAGGTAGGAAGAGGGCATCAGATCCCCTGGAACTGGAGTCATAGACAGTTGTCAGCCACCATGTGGGTGTTCTTAATTACTGAGCCATCCTCCAGCCCCCACATAAAGTTTTGAGCTCAAGATATGTTCCCCAGGTCTCACATACCTTTCAGCCTCCTACAGCATCCCTTCCCATCGTCATGCCTTCACCTTCCCCTCCCAGATTCCAGAGCCTGGTATACAATCTGAGCCAGAAACATCTCCATCTTAATCCATCTTCCCAACTAAATATTTGAGCTTCCTAAAAATAAGACTAAGGCTCCTACTTCTCGTAGCCACAGAACTGTAATTTGAAAAATAATTGGGCAGAATCCAAGAATTGGAGTCACAAATCTCAGACCTGGCAGGGACCTAAATAGTCATCTGTCCAGTAATGGGAACTCCTATGAAGGCATAAATAAATAAATCAGAGGAAAATGCAACTGTTCTGGTTGAAGAGAAGATGGCTAGAGTGGTGCCCATGCAGGCGGCATAGTCTTCCTTCGGGCAACTACTGAGAGGGCTGTGCACTGGGCATGAGTTTTAAATCTCTGAAATTTGCCAATTTGTTTTACTCCTGGAGACATGAACCAGGGGTGTGATGTAGCTTGCCTTTTACCCTGCAGTGAGTTAGCATCAAAACTGAAACTAGGGGGCTGGAGAGATGGCTCAGTGGTTAGGAACACTGACTGCTTACAGATGACCTGGGTTTGGTTCCTAGAACCCACAAGGCAGCTAATAACCATCCAGAATTCCAGTTCCAGGGGATTCAATACCCTCTTCTGCCCACCATAGGCATTGCATACATGGTACACTTGCATATATGCAGGGAAAATACTCATATACATAAAATTAAAATAAATTTTTAAAAAATATGAAACTAATGCATTTGTCCACTGGTCCCAGGATGGGCCGGGCCTGCAGCACCCGGCTTCCGATCCTTCGTCTTTGCTCTTTCCAGCACCAGAGAGTCTCTGGCCACAGATTGGTTGAAGTACTTTGAAATAATTCAGTGTGACGAGTCCCACCTAGTGGCAGATACTCCACTTGTCTTTATTCAAAACATGCAGCTCACTAGATGGAAACAGAAGAGACTTGGGTTCTTATCCCAACTCTGCCACTCTACCTGTGTGACCTTGGGCTACTTTCTTCATTGAACCTTAGTGAAGCTCAGATTTTCCTCTGTGAAATAAGAATAGTGAACTCCACAGGTTCCCGTTGGATGTGTAATTGTGTACCCATCAGGATAAACTGCACTATCCTGCTATAATAATGCAAAATTTTAGTAGTTTAACAACAAAGATTTGTCTTTGCATTGTGCGATATGCCACTGTCATCAGGGATGAGGGTGGGCTCTGCTCATCATAAGCACTCAGATCCCACCAAGAGGTCAGCTCTCCACTCTTAGAGCAGCTCTGCTGTTCAGGTCAGCTTTCCCACTTGCTTCATGCTTCAGGGAAATCCCCAGTGGTTCTGGATAGTCTCCAGGACTGTGTTCCCATCATCTCCCCTTTTAGGCTGAAGGACAAGCATTGTGTTTGGCTAAGAACACCTATGGTATGTCAGGTGGTGTGACATAGGGCTGGTGCTGGTCTGGCCAAGATTTCTTTTGAAGAGAACAGGCCTCTTGCTGCCAGACAGATGAAGGGTTTAGAGCTACTGAAGAGAACTTAACAAAATCTGGTTCCCCAAGGCTAATGTCCAGAGTTCACAACTTGTAGTTACAATCCCCTGTGTAAGTCAGACCCTGCTGGAGCTCCTGGGGCAATTGCAGACAGCACATGCTAGGCAGAGGTTGAGCCCTTGGACTCTTTCAAGGAAGGCAGTAAGATGACAAGAACCTTGTCTTGGAGATAGGAGAGATTACACCCAAGTATGTAGCTCAGGGGGACAGGGGCAAGGCACATTTCATAACAAAGCGAGAACAAGGTTAGGCCTATTAGGTGGTAGCTGTAGGGAGGAGACCTCCGGCAAAGCTGTCCCTCAGTGGAAGGGGCTGCTTTTGGGGTGGGGGTGTAGGGGGTTAGAACACTTAGAACCAGCCAGGAGTTCCATAGCCTCACAGGAAGAAGTCCATTCTCTGTACCCTCAGTGCCTTAAGCCAGTTAAGTCTCTATCAGTCCTGAAGGTCCAAATGTTCCCTGAACATCCCCCCTTGTTGCTTTGCTATCCCTGTCCCCTCTGTGCTCACCAGCCTTAGCTCTCCCTGGTTGTCCAGCACTGTCTTTCTGTTGGTTCAGCTCTTCTTGCTCTCCTCTTCTTTCTCCTCTGCTTTTCACCAAACTACAAAATCTAGCTCTTTGAGGCAGACTTTTGTGAGAATATTGCTGTTTCAGACCTGAGTTCTGTCTCCCTCTGCCAGTTGGTAAGAAGCAGCTACCCCTCAGAACCATCTCTGTCATCTGTAGCAATAACTCAGGCTTGAAGGGCACCAAGACCCAGCCTAAGGCCTTCCCTGCTCTTATCTGACTGTGCAGCTAAGCCTCAGTCACCTAGATCTGCCATTTTCTAGTCCAATTGCATTCATTATAGAAAGTTTAAGATGAAGGGAATGTAATAATATCTCATGTATTTATGAATGACAGCTGTGTGCCAGGCCACGGCCTAGATGAATAAATCACCACAGCACTCATAGCCTGACAGGGAGACAGGCAAGTGAATCAGCGGTATGACTGACCAAGAAAGGCGTTCCTGGAAAAGATGTCAACTAAACCCAATCTCAAATAAAAGCATCTCAGCCCTACCACCTCTACATAACCACTATTCATATTTTTATTTATAATAGCAGGCACCCATTATTGAGTGCATCTAGGCAGTATGCTGCATGTGCAACATATACTTTCTCTAGCCCTATAACAAACCCATGCAGTAGGACTGGAGAGATGGCTCAGTGGTTAAGAGCACCGGCTGTTCTTACAGAGGACCTGGTTTCAATTCCCAGTGCCCTTATAGAGGCTAACAATCCCTCATAACTCCAGGACCAGGGAATCTGACTTCCATGGGCATTGCGTAACATGGGTGCACTCACACACATGCAGGCGTTACACTCATACACATAAAATAAGAATAATAATTATTTTTTTTCATTTTATGTGTATGAGTATATTGCCTGTGTGTAGGTGAGTGCATCCGTGTCATGCAATGCCACGGAGGTCAGAAGAGGGCTTTGGATTCCCCTGGAACTGGAGTTAAGAACGGTTCATAGCCTCCATGTGGGTGCTGGAACTCTAACCCGGGTTTCTGTAAGAACAGTCAGTGCTCTTAACCACTGAGCCATATCTCAGCCCCATAAAAAAATTAAAAAAAAAAAAAAAAAAAAAAAACAACTCATGCAGTAGCTCTTATAATACTCCCCATCTCAACCAGGAAAATTGAACAGGCAACAAAGCAGCAAGTGACTCACAGGAAATCAAGTTGCCTATTAAGAACTTAAACAAGTATGCCCTCTATGGTACTGCATTAGCTCTTTCTGGACCGTATCTACATTTACTTACATAGGTGGCCTTTTTGCTTAAACCTACTAGTAACCTCTTGTACATACCAGAAGTCTCAAACTGGCAGCCATGTCTTATTTTGCCAATCTAGCGTTTCTCAAACATGTGAACTTCAAGCCACAGGACTCAAAACATTAACCTTTCTCCATCTAGTGCCAGATGTTAAATGGGACAGTGACGGGGGCAGATGGGCTGGGAATAGGCTGTGCTGCCATGTTCCTAAGGTATTATGTTCTTACCTGCTTGGCCCAGAAGGTACTAATGATCCTGTTACATTTGGGGAATCTGCTTTGTTTCCCCCACTTAATATTATTAGTGATTTTCTCATTTTAAAGGTTATCCATAAGCCTTTTTTT